CGAGGCCACCGGGACCGCTCCCCGCTCCAGTGGCTTGTGTGGAACGGTGCTTGCCTTGCTGAAGAAGGACGAGTCCAGGGTATCGGCAGCGTCCACCATGTCGTCGTCCATGAAGCTGGGGAACATGAAGCTCCTCTTGTTGCTCCTCTGCTTGGGAGCCAGCGGCTCCAGGACAGAGCGTCCCTTTGGCAGAGGAAGCAAATGAAGGTAAGCAACCAGAAGCCCCCCAGTTTTTGCAGCACTGAGGGTTTCTTGTAGCTTCCCTCCCCAAAGCTAAGCATTCGGCTGCCATATCCCCCCACGTGGGAAGGGCAGGCAGCAGGAGCTGGCAACAGATCCTGCCTTGAGCTCCTCAGAACCAGCGCTGGACCATGACCGTGTTAGTCCACACAACGAGTGAACTCTAAATCCCCTGCTTGGTATCAGTCCTGCAAACCTGACCTTGAGGCTTGCCCAGGGCTCCCCAGGGGCCGGAAAGCCACTGGAGAAGCTTCCCCTGCAGCAAAAGGTCTCCTGGCTCCTCAGCGGTAAAACACAGAACCTGCTTTTTTTCTAGGGATGCTGTGCAAGATAGTTCTACTTTGGTGGTCCGGTTTTCACCAAAACTTCTCTTTTTAAGCAGAGCTCAGGTTAAAAACCACCGACCTCCCCTCTCAAACCCACCCTGGAGAGAGGGCGGTCTCTGCGCAAAGCAAAAAGCCAAGAAGCAAAGACGATGGGTGAAGGACAGCGCTGAAACCCGAGTCAGGAAGAAGATGACCCCCCCCATCCAGCTCCCCAAAACTCACACGGAGAAGGGCTGCGGCCGCCTTGAAGCTCATGTGGGCAACAGACTCCCTCTTCCTGCGCGGCAGGCGGCTGTAGCCGGAGCGGATGCTGTTGAAGGATGCCAAGGAGACGACGCCGGGGGTGACCGGGGGCAGGACGTGGTGGGGTGTGTGGGGACGGTCGGTCTCTTCGGGATGGCGGAAGGGACGGCCCCTGGCCAGTGGGTCCACGATCTGGAGGAGGGAAGAGGTGTCAGTGCTGGAAAAGCAAGGCTGGGAAATGGACCCCGTGCCCTGAGCTCTACCTTGGGCATCTTGGCAGGCTTGGGTGACTCGGTGCCTTGGAAGGAGGGCACCTCCTGGCTGGGCAGCTCCATGTCGCGGTAGGCAGGCTTCAGCTTGCCGTATCTCATGCTGCAGTGCTGCAAGCTCTTGCGTTGCCACTGCTGCCGCTTCCCCTCCCAGTCGCTGCTGATGCCAAACCATTCCGCCGTGCCCCTGGACACACGACGGGAGCGCTTGTCACCCAGCTGGTCCCTGTCACCCCAGGTACTGCCATCCCCTCCCCAGGCATCCCCTCCGGGAGGTGATTTGGGTTGGGGTGCCTCAGTTCAGCCCGCAGCGGGGCAGTTTTGAACCGGCTATGGGTCCTGGGGAAGGGATGGTGCAGAGGGGTCGCTGGCCTTTGGGTCTCTCTGGAGAGGTAACTCCTTCAAGACTTGCACCTTGCACGGGACAGCGCGTCAGCTCTGGGCTGCAGCTCCAGGTGCTTGTGAACGTCCTACATAAAAGGGGCTGAGAAATTTCCCCAAGGTACAAAACAACCGTGTGAATTAGCACTAAACAATTCTGCTGCAGGATCATCCCCAGGCAGACACCAGTGAGTCAAAGCAGAGTCGCACGAAACCCTCCAAGGCGTTCCCTTCCGAGATACGACTCTATCCCTACCCCAAGTCCTCTGCCGGTACCCACAGCCACAACAACCTGATGGGGACTGAGGGACCCCTCTGCTGACGGA